CACTAGCAATTTTGCCCATCCTGTCTTGTTCATTACCTTTTTCATTTCCTTTATTACCATTAAATCCTTTAAACCCTGACTCGAGTGAACTATATTGTGGCTCAAAGCTACCTTTTAAGGATAATCTTATTATTTTTCCATTTATTTGACGTCCTATTATTTTACGAGCAGCCTCCAATATGCCTGTGATTTCACACTAAAATATGGTCGTTTGTGATATAGTGACATGTAATGTAATGTATGGGCTCTGACAATACACACCCGCTCCAAGCCTAAGTCGGTTTTGAATCCATCTGTAAATATATAAATATCAAGCGACGTATTTGGGTATTCATTTATCCACACCAGATAGGAAGTGTTAAAATTATAACTCCGTACATTCTGATTAAGCACTGTACTCAAGTTATTTCCTTTCCACAGTTTAGTGGTCGTAAGCCTCAGAGATGATCTCAGTGCATACTCTACCACAACAAATCGCTAGTGTAAAAGTTGTGGGCACCTGTGATAGACAGACATGCAAGCCGTTGCACATGTTTAATTTGTTTTGATGCATGCAGTAGTCTGTTTGGTTTTGGGTCACCAAACAACAGATCCTTAGCACTGGTCGAATGACTGCCAGAAAACTATTTTGTAAATAGTCCCAACGTCCTGCCGACAGTCATTCTACACTGCCAGAAGGCCACTGAGGCCTTCTAAACTGTATGCTTTAGTTAAGTTTTTGTTTTTGGACATGTGTGTATAAGAATAGTAAAAGTACAAATAAAATTCAATTTTTAAAACCTAAGTAACTTTGCTTTATAAGGTATTAACCCAAACAAAAATTTGATTTATATACATTTATAAAAGGCAAATAGTTGAATTCCACCTGCATTGTATATAAATGCTTTATTTAGTACAGTTTATCTTATTTTATTTATTTAATAAATTAAAGGTATTCAATATTTAATATGTAGACAAATTTGTTTCAATTTCTGTACATTAAATGGGATATTTATTAATATTTATGTTTGTTTGTGGTTTTAGAGAGGCCGGTGAATTCAGCTTTCTACTGTAAAGCGCACTAATTGCTTTTACACAAAGAGTTGCCATTTAGGGTTATCGTTTTATTTTATTTTTAATGTTATTATTAATGTTATATATTTTTATTACTTTATTATAATTGATTTTATTTGTTATTTACTCTTATTTCATTACTTATTGCATGTACGTTTTTTATTTGCCATTTAATCGTATCCATTATGAGTATATAATTTATTTTGTATTTAAATAATATATATATATATATATATAGGGTGACCCATCGAAAACGTACCGCAAGGCATTACGGGCTGGGAAAGAACTTTTCGGCAAAATGCCAAAACACTTCAAGTTTGTTTGTCAGGGGGACAACTTTTGACATAAAAAGCAAAGCAAAATCTTCAACCCCCTTAGTGGGGGTTTCATCCTTCAAATTTTTTCAAATGGGCATCATAATAAACAGGCTTCTGGGAAAATAGTTCGCGAATTGGCGAAAAAGAGGCAGCTTGAAATTCCGGTACTAAATGAACCAGAGGAGATTTAGGGCAAGTTGCATTGGATAATACGAGAGTACAAGAAAATTGCCATTACGACGGGTGTGACGCGTACAAGTGTCCAACGAATATTAAAAAAATACTAGTTCAATCCTTATAAGATTCGGTTAGTGCAACTAAATGAAGACGACTTTGATCGCCGCTCTCAATTTTGCGAAATTATGACTGAACGAGTGATTAATAATGATAATTTCCTATTTAACATGTGTTTTTCGGACGAGTGTTCTTCGTACTTGAATGGTTTAGTGAATCGCCATAATTGTCGTTACTGGGCTGATACCAATCCAAGGATTTTCCACGAGGCTCACACACAACACCCCCGGAAGTTGAATGTATGGGCTGGTATTTTTGGAAATTCGATGGTAAGTCCTTTTTTCTTTCCTGGAAATTAACCAAGCAATATGTACCTGGATTTACTACAAAATGCCATCGACCCAGCTCTAACACATATCATAGAGAACGACCCTGCATACAATGAACAGGAACTGACTTTCCAACAAGACGGAGCTCCTCTGCATTACTCGCAAAATGTGCGAAATTTTTTAAATGACACGTTTCCAGGACGCTGAATAGGATGCAATTAAGTGGCCTCCTCGGTCACCCGATTTTAGTCCTGTAGGGCAATGGTTTGAAGATAACCTCTATCACTGTATGCATGTTGGTGGACAAGAATTTGAGCATTTACTTGACTAATACGATAAGTTTTTAAAAAAATAAATCGATTTTTCGTATTGTTAGTATTTCAAAGCTTCATAATTTCTAAACGAATCGATTTTCAAAAATTAAGCAGCAATATATAGGAAATGAAAAGCTCCTTTTAATGGGATATTATTTGAACCTATTCTTATTTGAAAAAATTTGGAGAATGACACCCCCTCTTAGGGCAAGTCAAAAGTTGTCCCCCTGACAAACTTGACGTGTTTTTGGATTTTGCCAAAAAGTTTTTTCCATCCTGTAATGAATGGGCCACCCTGTATATATATATATATATATATATATATATAAATTGAACATTCTTAGAATTTGTCAAGTTTATTCGATGAACCCTTAATAAGAAGCTTGCATTAGTATTTATTAGGGTGATTCATTTCCGTAAAAAACTTTTTTTTTCTCGGCGCTCAAGCAAAATATTAATCTACCTATAGAAAAAAAAAATTTCACCAAGGTAGAGCTCTTAATATAAATTTAAGTTTAAATTTAAAGTTTTCCCATTTAAAATGCATGTAAAAAAATGGTTTTTTTTTCAAATTTCTAATGCTCGCCCGCTCTTTACAATATTGTGAATCGGTTTTATGGACCTTATAGGGAATTTCACGCTCTTCAAAATTGCCTTTGTGTTTTTTTGCGTAACTCGTAGTGGTTCGCCAGTAGGAGTCATCAAAGTTCAATTTTTTGAATGAACAATTTTTTTTTGCAATTTTTTTTTAACAATTCGCAAAAAATAGTGAAAAAAAAAGAGCTGAATCGTAAAAAATAGTCTTTTAACAAATATTTGATGAATTTACGGCCATTTTTATATCTTAAAACGTAAGTAATTGATAAATATTAACCAATTATGCTATTTAAATTAAACTTTCTTATTTACTATCGATATAATTCTCTACAACAATAACTTTTCCAGAGTTATTATGATTTTTGACTTATAATAAATATAAAAAAACACATTAATTTATAAAAAAAACAACAAATATACAATTGCAATTTTTCAACATTTCCGTAATATAGCAATAAATATAAATGAAGGTTATTCAATTTTTTTAACAAAATTCTTAAATCAACGAAAAAGTAAATTGTTTTTATTGTCAACTTCATTTGCTTTAATATTGTATAAGTAGAAATTGAATAATTGCACTAAATAATATTTTGATGGCATATTCGAACATAAGTAAAAAAATAATGATAATTATTTTATTGGGAAAGCAACTGTTACAATTTTATGATTGCTCTAGTTAGCGACTCTATTGTCTTTGTAAACGGGTTTGATGCTTTATGTTATACTTAACCCCAAAATGTATTGTTTGTTGTATTTAGTGATTAGTCCGAGAACAAAGTACGAAGTGACTACGTGCACGTTAGAGTGCCTGCAATTTATTTTTTACGGGCACGCTAGTGACGTAATAGATAAAAAACGTCTTCACTGCCGTGCCGCTTAATTTAAAATTGGCGGCACAACAATAATATAATAATAAATTGTACCTGAATACATGTTAAGGGCACGTTAGTTACGTCATAAAATAAAATCTTAATTTGCTTTGTATAAAAGTCGAAATAATTTAATATTTATCAACTTGTTTATTTATGACTATTGAGATTTTTATTAAATTTGCAATAGGTATATTATCTAATAATGTAATCTGTTATTTGTTTTGATTAAAGTTTTGCTGTTTTTTTATTTGTTTTGTTATGTTTATATTTATTTTTAGTCAGAAATCATAATAACTCTGAAAAAGTTATTGTTGTAGATAATTGTATCGATAGTAAATAAGAAAGTTTAATTTAAATAGCATAATTGGTTAATATTTATCAATTACTTACGTTTTAAGATATAAAAATGGCCGTAAATTTAATTATTAATTAATCAAATATTTGTTAAAAGACTATTTTTTACGATTCAGCTCTTCTTTTATACTATTTTTTGCGAATTGTTAAAAAAAAATTGCAAAAAAAATGTTCATTCAAAAAATTGAACTTTGATGACTCCTACTGGCGAACCACTACGAGTTACACAAAAAAACACAAAGACAATTTTGAAGAGCGTGAAATTCCCTATAAGGTCCATAAAACCCATTCACAATATTGTAAAAAGCGGGCGAGCATTAGAAATTTGAAAAAAAAAAAAAATTTTTACATGCATTTTAAATGGGAAAACTTTAAATTTAAACTGCAAGTACTTAAAATTGATATTCAGAGCTCTACCTTGGTAAAAAAAATTTTTCTATAGGTAGATTAATATTTTGCTTGAGCACCGAAAAAAAAAACTTTGCGGAAATGAATCACCCTAGTAATTATATTTTTATTAGTATCATTATAAGGTGTACAGTTACCCTTAATGAATGACATTGGATTCATAAAATATATATATATTTGTTTTTATGTAAGAATTCGTTTCGTTTTCAAATAAATAAATCTAAATACGTACAACACGAGGCTGACTTTTTGACCTTTACTTTTTTGGGTTTCCCCTTTCAATTTTGTTTAAGTTGTATTTGGTTTGATGTAGGTAGGCATAAATATTAATGCAAAGGAAACCAGAAAACAAGTAAAATTGATTTTTTCTTTATTGAAAAAAACATATTAAAACTATGTTTTTTATTTTTCCATTCATTTTATCATGTTAAATAAATATAAACATCTTTTTGTTACCCTTGTCAAAAATATTATATTTTATCAATTTTCATTTCTAAAACTTAACTGTTCTTATCTTTCCAGGTGTTGGGCTCCAGAGAAGAATATCACTTTATCCACCATGGATTGCCTGTTGCTCGTACCAAGAGAAGCGTATCTCACATGAGGAAATTAAAAGTTGATCCCTTGGTAAGAATCTTACGTTAAAGAAAATTCAAATTGGATTTATTTTTAAATTTAACCTTTAACGCGACTGGTATAAGCTTTTATAAAATATTCTTATCAGAATTATTCACCTTAAAGGTTTTTTTTTAATTAACCATTTGTAAATGGGTTACCTACTTCATAAAAATGTAGATAATTAATTGGAATTTTAAAAATAAACTTTTATAAAATATTCTTATCAGAATTATTCACCTTAAAGGTATTTTTTTTAATTAACCATTTGTGAATGGTTCTCCATAATTAATTGGAATTACAAAAATTTTGAAAAAGTTTCAAAAGTATTAAATGTTAAATAATTTTATGGGTTATACATGTTTTAAATTCGACAAAAATTGTCCAGATGTGACCATGGATCGAGTTTTAGAGTAATGATTAGAGTTGCGGTGTTATTATATCATTGATTTACGTTTTTTGTTACAAATTTGTGCAAATTTTTCCAGTTACAGGTTAGTAGGTATACTGACGAGTTACTGACTAGTTACTGAATCGTTACTGATTACTTACTGGTATACTTTAAACAAACAAATAGAATTGAAAAATCAGGTAAATTATCTGTTTTTGTTTTTGTTATACAACAAATCTGACTGAAGTTTTGTTCTCATATATTATAAGCCTAAAATAATATACATAATTGCTCATATTTACATTGTTCTCTTTTTTTTAACAACAAATAAATAATATTTAATACCCACAAACCTGAATAAATTTAGTTATAAATAAAACATTTTACTAAATCTATTTAACCTTTTGGTTTAATACATCACCTACGCTGTTATAACGTGCCGAATATACTTAACCAGTGTTAAGTATGGCAAACACGAGAATTAGTCGAAATAAAATTTAAATGAAAAACGCTATTAACATGAAATATGAGTAGTAATTTAAATTTAGAAAATTAATTAACAATTTATGCTGAATTATTCAGTTCTTTAAATGTTAATAATTTACAAATTATAAAATACATTTGGTATTTTATTATAATAATATAATAATTATTTAGCCAACGCGTATTGATTTATTATACGCTCTAAACTTTAGTTCAGCTTTATGATAGTATAGAAATACTAGAAAATGTTTTTTAATATAATACTAATACTTGATTACATAGTAATTTATAATTGATTGAATACTTCGGTCAAATTCGATAGTAGCTACGGGTTAATAATTTTTTTTCTATATAAAATATTATATATAAGAAGTTTTTAAAATCTTACTTATCCAGTAACTCTAAAATATACCATATCGTTAACATCCTAATTTAAGGAAATATATGAGTACCTTAGATGCAAAACTCGGTTTTTGCAAATTAAAAAATAAAATAAAATTGGCTTTAAATTCTGTTTAGTGTTCGTCCTAGATAAATGGCGTTCATAAAACTTGATACATAATAATATTATATTATATATATTATTATGTATCAAGTTTTATAAACGCCATTTATCTAGGACGAACACCAAACAGAATTTAAAGCCAATTTTATTTTATTTTTAAATTTGCAAAAACCGAGTTTTGCATCTAAGGTACTCATATAATATACCACTATAAGTATCTAAAGTTAATCCAAAACGAAGTGTTTTTTATTATTTCATTGATAATTCAATTGATATTAAAATTACTATTGTAACTTGTCAAAGTTCTGAGAATTTTAATAAAGTAGTACGAAAAAGACGCAGTCACTTAAAAACAATAGTATATAACGACATAAGGCATATAACGGACGAGGATTTTTGTAGCAGTGACCGCTAGGCAGAGGCGTAAAGCTGAATTTCTAGTTCTAAAAAGTAGGAGCAGCAGCAGCAGTAAGAAGTAAGATGTTACTGCCAACCAATAGGATTGGCTGGAGTAAGGAAAGTAGCAACCCCTGTCAAAGACATTAGAGATGACCATCTTTCATCTTTTCTTACTGCTACTCCTACTCCAGCCAATCACAATGCAGACATTTGGGTGTACTATGTCAATTAAGCGTGTGTTTATTTTCTTTATCTACGCCAGTGAGATAGAACTTCTTATCCCACTCATTTTGAGTGAGATAAGAAGTTCATTAACGCACGCGTTTTTCTCTGTTTTTAACCAATCAAATAAAAAAGTCAAAATGTCAAAATAACCCTAAATTAAGGCTTAGACAAAAATAATTACCGTTTATTTTTCCATTTAGAGGCGTAGATAAAAATTTGTACAATATACGTGTGATAACGCTTTATTAACGTACTTTTGCGATTGCCCAACTCGTGCTACGCACTCGTTGGGAAAATTTCGCATGCGTACGTTATCTTATCCCACTTATATCGTAAATAACTATTATCTACGCCAGAGATAAGAATTTCTTATCCCACTCATGTTGAGTGAGATAAGAAGGTCATTAACGCACGCATTTTTCTTATCTCACTGCTTTTCAACCAATCAAATAAAAAAGTCAAAAGTCAAAATTTATTAAAATTTAATGTAGTAACAATACAGCTTAATTATTTATTATAAATATTAATAACACAATCTTTAATACGAGAGGAAACTGCTTAAGTATGACAATAATACCTTCTCATTTGCCAAACTGCGAACTTTTTTTTTCTGTACGCCATTTTTCATATTTGGCATAGGTCATCTCGTATTTTGACTTAGATTTTTCCGGCAACAGACCGGAAATAGCTTTTAAAGCTTGTTCTTCAATATCAGATGGCAAACTTTCCGAATCACTCATTTTTATTACTAGAAAATTATTTTTGACTTATTGTTTATGACAATTGACAATTGACATTAATGTTATCGTTGCTAAGAAAAACAAATGTGTCGCTAATCGACATGTTGGCAGTGGCGGAGAGCAATAGCCCTAAATTAAGTCAAACACAAAAATTATAATTACCGTTTATTTTTTCATTTAGAGGCGTAGATAAAATTTCGTACAATATACGTGTGATAACGCTTTATTAACGTACTTCTGCGATTGCCCAACTCGTGCTACATACTCAATAGACAATTGACATTAATGTTATCAATTGACAATTGACATTAATGATATCGTTGCTAAGAAAAACAAATTTGTCGCTAATCGACATGTTGGCAGTGGCGGAGAGCAATAGCCCTAAATTAAGTCAAACACAAAAATTATAATTACCGTTTATTTTTTCATTTAGAGGCGTAGATAAAATTTCGTACAATATACGTGTGATAACGCTTTATTAACGTACTTCTGCGATTGCCCAACTCGTGCTACATACTCGTTGGGCAAATTTTAATAAAGCTTATATCCCACTTATATCGTAAATAACTATTATAGAACTAATATTATTTGTAGTGATTCTATTAGTTTTTGTGGCTGTTTTTTTAGTTTATTAGTGTTATCATCCCTCCCCGCTACGAAAATAGGCGTTTAGTTAAGTTTTTAGTGTAAGTTTGACAATGAATATTGTACTTTTTATATCCATGAATTGTTTCCTAATTTATGGGACTAGCAAAGCTAAGACTATAAAAATGCGGTGAGATATAATTTTAAATTGGGTCATTTATTTGATGTGCAATATTTTACAGTTGCTGAGTGTCAAAGGCAGTGGAAAAGTCTCAGGGACTAAAAAGAAGCGAGCCCTACCTTAAGCCTTCGGCAATGATTTGCCCAAATGGGATTATTTTAATGCAATGAGCTTTTACAACCATTGCTTGCTTCGCAGAAAGTAAATAAGTTAGTTGTAATCTAATAATATGTCATTAACTTTTATATGTACTGCCAGGAAAATTTTAACAACAAAAAAGCTGCTTGTAGAGGTGAAAACGTTGCCTCCATGCAAGGAGCCCATTAAAAGAAACCTCTGGAACACTTTTCATCCTTGCAGGAGGATGATGAATACGAGGAAGAAACAAACATGCAGCAAGAATCCCAGTCTATAGCCTTCATGGTGTTTCCATCACCAGGCCCATCATCTTCACGGTCCAGGTCGGTAATGTCTACCCCACAGACGTCCTCCAAGGCAGTAAACCCTAGCAAGTCAATTACTGACAAAATTACAATTTCAGTGAAAACAAATTCTTTTGTTGCAAGGAAGTAACTGTAAGGCTGTCCCAGAGTTCAAGAAATTAGTAAATATAGCACAAGGACTTTCAACCCAAATAGAAAGCTTTAATGTGCGACGTCCCGAGCCGCCGGTAGGGGTAAATGCCCTTGCCACCAGCTATATTAGGGAAGTTCTGGATAAACTGAAACCAAGTTGTGCCTTTCATTTACAAAGCGCACTACTACATCTGACGCAGGAGGCGGAAGAGGAGCACAAAATAAATGAATATATATTTTTAAAATACATTTAATTTCCCATTATTTCTCCATCCTCGCAATATCACAATAGTTAAGTGAGGTCATAAATATATGGGGCAGTCCACGCTTAATCGGCCAAGAGTAAGGGTCGATAAAGGAATTAAAGTAATGAAGAAATCTAAAATTTTAACCTCTTTTATGCATTTTTGTAGGTTTAACATAATAAACAAAAAAAATGGCACTTCTCTTATTTTTCGATTATTTAAAAACCCGAAAGACAAAAAATTTCGAAAAAATTCATATAAACATATTTTTTGACGCCCTTTAAGATAAAATAAAAAAAAAAAATTTGTTCAAATATTTTCAAAAAAAACCTAATTTTTGTTATTAAAATTTAAATTCCCAAGAAACGCCACCTCAAATTTAAACAAAAAAAATAATGATGATAGCCGTAAGTTTTTCGCAAATTTTGACTACTTAGTTTTGGGGGGGGGACTTAAAAACTGTAGAAGTTATGAATATTTTTTTAAAGAAATGCATGTCAAATCGTCGCTACAGATCCAAGCCTACGCCTAGCTACGGCGCGCCGCGGCACTCGGTTCCGAGAGACGTGCGCTCGGTCGGAGAAAAAATGGTTTAACGATTCTAGAGAGAGAGCTCTCTCTCTCTTTCTCTCACACACATTAATATTTTTAAACTATATTTTATTAAAACTCCAAATTATTTA